TGTAGTGCAGCAGATAGGAACCCTTGGTAAGGAGATTAAATATCTCATCCCATCTGCCTTCCATTTTACTGTAAAAAATGAAAACAAGGAAGTAATTTGAAAATTAAAACTTCTGATTTAAAAAAATAATTATACAGTCAATTATGTTCATATACACTGAAAACAACCGCATGTTGAGGAAGTAAATTATTATAAATATGACGAGGCAGCATTCAAACAATTTTTTACTTCTAAAATGTTTCTTATCTCAAGACTGAAGACATTTATTTGCCATTTGCACACGGATCAACAGTCCCTGCACATTGGAATTCAGTGTTGTATGTGCACATAGTCCATGGAAGGAAGTGTTATTCCTATGATCCTCTCTGCAGACTTTATGACTCTTTGTAGAGCTTTCCTCTCTGTCTGTGTGGTATTTCCATACTTATACCATTCTTATCTGTGTGCTTCCTTACAAAATTATGATTTACGGGTAGATACATAAAAGAAATATGGTTTTTAACATGTTTCACTTTAACAGAGACAAATCTTTTTATGTGTTGGTTTATATCTAGATATTTTTCTGCTTCCTGGTTTGTAGTTTTGAATCACATTCCTGCGTTTTTAAACAAGTAGCAAAATAGTTTAAGCAAGCAGAAATAAAGTATAAAAAACTCACTAACATAGTAGTCAGACATGTTATTTAATCATATTTCTAGTCAAAAACAAAACTTTTTCAGGAGGAACACGGAATTAGAAACATGTTCATATTATATGAATCTATTAAAATAGCCCCTTTCGTCTTTAAAATGCTGACTTTAATTTCCTCACGGACTGTATAATTGTTGGTCTTGTATTGTTTTTTTTTTACTTCTTGTTACTATTTATATGTTTCATAGCCGTTACATGACGTTCAGGCATCAAAGTTTAGTTGTTTCATCAGCGATTAAATTACGTGCAGAAATTGGCAGTCAAAAAATGCACTGCACACTGAAAACTGTGACTAAAGTACAAAATATATCAAATAATGTGTTAACATTAAAGAATATAAATGAATTACTTACATTTTAGTCGTAGTTTCACTTTTTCGCCGATCTTTTCTAGTCCGTATGCTCATCTGACGCCTCTGTAGAACGTACCGGAGTTGTCGAGTAATGCGCATGCGCGCACATGCGCATTATCTGCAAGTATGCTCCTCTGACAGGTATGCTGTTCTGACACAACACCGGCTCTTTTTGGTGAGCTGAGCCAAAAGAACCGGCTCTCTTAAAAGAGCCGGAATTCCCATCACTAGTCTTGGCTAATATTGGAGAGAAAAATGAACAACGTGCGTCTAAATGAAAGGAATCTATTGTAAATGTAGATAAGTCTGTAGGATGAACGGAGCCACCGAACGTCCCACCAGCTGAGCGCGTGCCGTGCGTCGCCTCTGTGGGTCACTGTCCCGTTCGCTTTAGCTACAGCCAGCTTCACACCAGTCGATCACGGTGGTCCAACAAGGGACACGTCAAGAGGCTTCAGAGGTGTTCCGCTGGCTGAATTATGGGGAGTCGTTGAAGATTAACATCCTTCACTTTAAGCACCTTTCTGCTGAAGTAACCGAACAGTAAGTAGATACATTTGAGTGCAGCTGTCTGTTAATGACTATCACTGCATTTACCTGCAGCTAACGTTAGCTAGCATGCTAACATTTATTTTAGCCCCAGTGGAATTATTTGAATGGGGGACATAATAAAAGCGGGTTGGATACTCATTTTTGGCGATGTCAAAATGAACGTAACGAGTTTTCACCGACACCAGCTGCCGAGTGAGTGTGCTAAACCGTTTAATCGTTAACGGGAACGTCAGGAGCGATTACATAAGCTAGCTGGTGGTTAGACTGGCAGAGTGCTAACTGAGCTTCGGCTCCATTCATTTTGTTCCCACTCAGGTTAACGGTTTTTTATTTTATGACCCGAAATAAAAACTAACACTGCAGCAGTTTTAGACAGACACGACACTAGTTTTCATTTTCTCTTTAAAGTTATTTCAGTAGCTTCCCCATCTAGGGTTTTGAACCAGAGACGTTATTTTTTAAATGTGACTTTATTTTTAGCTGTGATTTCTGAAGTTTCTCGCTATATTAGCTAAGTTACACATTAGAACATATTAGATACAATAGTGTTGTTTATGTCTGATTAAACATCTTAAAGCAAAGATGTCGAGGCTTGTAGGCAGAGCTAACAGCTTAGCAAACACAACACCTGCACAATAATGGGACTGTTGGCTTAATCTTTGACTAAATCATAATAGGCTGCATTTACACCAAGTTAACCTTTTTTTAATTGCAATCTTAATGCTTAGATTGAAACCCAAGACTCAGATTCAGCATTTTTCAAACAGTTTTAGAAATAAACTACTTAATTTACCCAGTCTGAAGTTTGTGATTTTGCATTTGCAGTTTTTATGTTTTGTATGACAAGTTTCTGCTGAATACAAAGTCAACTGTTTTGTTAAACTCTGAATATAATCACATGACGGGGAATCGCTTGAGCAAGATTGGAACACTTTCTGTTCTTTTTTGCTACCTCAACAAACTTTTTGGTTTTATATACACATCAGTAAACATTGGCTGTGGTTGACAGGCATATCATCAACACTTTTTCTATAAGCACACTTCATTGAAAAGAATGAATTAACTTATAAACTTGCCACCAGGTTCTGCAGAAGTACGGTAAACAGATGTGTTCAAAGAGAGAAATGTCTAAAATGTGCACATGTGCCTTGTGGAGCAAGATAAACACTGATCTGTTGTATGAAACTCTGCTTCTTGAATAACAAACGATGAGGCAGATTTAGGGGGTCACTGCTTCTGCCCTTGGTTACTTTTCTTGTCAATCATTGAGCTTCCTGGAGTAGTGCTGTCAACAATAACTCGGTGGGTTTAGATATGTAAAGTGAGCAACACAATGTGCAGTAGGGCTGCAGCTATCGAATATTTTTGTAATCGAGTACTCTATTGAATCTTTTATCGATTAATTGAGTACTCTAATAAATTACTCTTTTGCGTTTTTAAACCATTAAATCAAATAGCATGTTATAAAATATGAAAGACCTCTTGAAATGAGCACGCAATTGCCAGTTATTCAAGTTTTATTCAAAATTACTTTTCAAAACTTCAGCACTTCGACTTTACTTCACAATAAACAAATGCGAGCGGCTGCGGCCCAAACAGTGCCAGAACCGCTCACGGCGCATGTGCAAACATGGCTCGCCAGCTGTTTCCCTATTAACACACGTTCGTTTTAATTTCTACACTTTTTTTTTGTCTCACACTAACAAGGATTGTCGAAAGCATGTTTGCCGTGGTTATGTCAAATTACACTGATCACAAAACATTTATGTACTTTCTTTCGTTTTCCTCTGTCACACTCATAAATACCTGTGTCCTCCTGCAGCAATCCTGAGGGACAACGGACATCAATAACAACACAGTAAAAAGTCTGACGTGTTGTGTAAAAACTGCTATTTTTAGCACATTTTAAGTCCGACGTGTTGCTACCAGACGTACGGTGTGAGCTGAAACTGAGTGCTACAAATGAAAAAGTCGCACAGTGTCTGCAGAATATATAGAAATACAGGCTAAAATGCATTATCTTGTAGAGGCTCCGAGTCCGCTTGCAGAAGTGACGTTTACATGTGGATGTTTCCTGGTCAGGTTGCAGCATCGAGGATGTGGTGTTGTGGTAGGCTAAATCCATTTTACAGTATTTACACTGGAGTACGTTTTCCGCCTCACGACATGAAAAATGGTCCCACACCGTTGACATTTTGTGTCTTTTTCGCACTCCACCGGGGTCCACATTGTCCGCCATGGCTTAAGAGAAAGTTAAGTTGCGTTCGCTACTCGCGTGTGCATTCAGTGCAGTGTGTATTTGCGTCACTTATTTCGGTCCGGGTGAAACATGACAATGGGCGATTGCAAAGCCATGAATTAATTAAACATGAATTAAACGAAGCTTCGAGGCAGAGAATTTTACTCGAGGATTTTTTGTACTCGAATTATTCGAGGTACTCGAGGGATCGTTTCAGCCCTAATGTGCAGCATTTTATGCTGCTTTGGTTTGAGACAGGTGAGATGTACATATTTTAATAACACTGTTAGATATTTCCTTTTAGATTTTAATAAACTCAAATGAGGTTAGTGTTGTACTACTTTGTGAATTGGACCTTAGAGTTTTGAAGTTAAATTGCCTTACTGATGAACAGTCAAGGTTTTATTTAGCGCCCCACAATATGGAAAAACAAAATGCAAGCCAACACTGTGTCTGAGGTTATTGAGGTTTGTGTTACCCACATAATGAGCTGACAGTTTTTTTTTTTTTTTGTAACCTACTTCTAGATGTAGTGTAATATGAACCTGGGGTGGTCTTGTTTTCACCTCAGACACATACTGATTCTTTTGTTACAGAGTCAATTGAAGCAGCTGTGTTTTAGATAACCTCAAATACAGTTGTATAAAGCTCATAATACACGAGGACTGTCTTAATTTATTAATGTAATTCATTCATGTTTAGTTGTTAAATGTCCTTGTGTTGACTGTTAAATAGTTGGCTCATTCATGCCTGTGTGAGTACAGTTTTTAGGCAGGGGAACTCTTCTTTCTTGTCCCATTTTCTTTCTAAATGGAAAGAATTTGTCTGCTTGGTGTGCAGTGTCTGTTACAATCCAAAATGATTTAACATGGGGAAAACAAGCCGCAGTTTTCATCTCGGGGTGCTTTCTTTGGTTGTGTTTACACAAGACTGAGCAGATGGGACAGCAGGGCTCAGGCCCTTTCTGGAAAAGCCTCATGCATTATGTTTTTACTTAGGCCATCAAGAGTCTAAAACAGTCAGAGGGAGACCGGGGGCCAGAATAAGAAGAATGTTTGGGTGGCAATAACATATTTCAGCATTGCTGCTGTTGGTCTGCAATTTCATAAGTTTACCCAAGTCATCGGCTAACTAGTGGAGTTGAATTTGTTTGTTTAGTCAACCTATAATGATTTAAGATCTCTTCTAATCCTTATGGAGATCATGCTTTTGGCTTATCTAGTTTCCATACTGTTTTGTAATCACATGCTCAGGATGACGGGAGTTCGTTGGTAATAAGTAACAGAAAACAAGTCCAGTACAGTAAACACCCCATAGGCTGACTTCAGCAGTTTAGTGTCATTAACCTCCCTCCACCTCTTTTCACCTCCTCCATTTGATAGTTCTCACACAATAACAAGCACATAAGATTGTAATATATATTAGACTAAATGTACAAGAATGCCATGGTGCCGCATATTTTTTTTGTAACTAAAGCTTTTGGTCTTATCAAGAAAAAACACTGCAAAGCTCTTCAGAGGAAATAGCTTTCCCTTATCAGCAATGCACTGCCACTGCAAAGGTGTCTTCCCATTGGCTGACATTGTTGTGCTCTGTCAGCTGACTGGATGAGCACACGTTCACATCTGAAAAGAGAAACTCAGAAGAAGGATGGCAAAGTTTATGACTGTTTCACAATCACCGTTCGTTCCAGATATGATAACTGAATGTACCCCCTGGGACGGTTATTCCACTGTGATTAGGTGAGTTTGAAATTTGAATCCACACGGCAGGAAAATGTTCTGAACAAAATCCAAGAGCAGTAATCATCGGTCCCAAAAGAGGGACCTAAGGGGTTAAAGTAAGGCCCAGTTCTCCACTTGCTGTGATGAAGAGGCAGAGATCCTGGGGGAATTGGGACCTTCTTGGAAGCAACACAGAGGACAACACAGATAGCAGTGAACAAGATGAATCTTCTTCTTTGAAGTCTTCTTGGTCACTGGTGAGTCAACAAATTGGCTTTCCAGATGGTGAAAGTCAAATGCTGTCCAGTTATGGCTTAGTTTACCAGGTTTGTTTATTTCTTGTATTGGTACTTTTACTTTTTTTTAATTAATTTATTTTTTTTACCTAATCTCACTGGAATTAAAATACAATAGACTTTATTGATCCCACAGTGGGGAAATTCACTTGTCATAGCAGCATAAACGCTTAAAACAATAATTTGAAGAAAAATAACAAAAGTGCATGTATATACACATAGAATTAGCGAATTATGCTTTTTTAAGCTTCAATAAATACATTTTGGGCATTCCAGCTATGCCAAAGTATGTAGTAGTATTGCTATCACTTTTTTAATGGATCTGTTGGAAGTATGACAAATGGACGAATCTAAGAATCTGGCTGACCTACACTGGCTCCCTGTTATCTACCAGGTTCAGTTTAAGGTTCTAATGTTTGTCTACAAAGCCTTTAAGAATTTGGCCCCATCTAATCTTTCTGAGCTGCTCTACTCATACATCCCATACATACAGGTCCTTCTAAAAAAATTAGCATATTGTGATAAAGTTAATCATTTTCTGTAATGTACTGATAAACATTAGACTTTCATATATATTAGATTCATTATACACAACTGAAGTAGTTCAAGCCTTTTATTGTTTCTAATATTGATGATTTGTTATTTTGTTGTATAATTTTAAAACAAGATATAAGATGACTTTTTATCTTTAAATCGCTATAACTGGTCAAACTGCTATGCTAGCGATTAGCCGCTATGCTAGTGACATGTTGCTCCGTCTCTAAGCGGCTATTACGTGTATTCTCACAAGTTTGCTCAATCTGAGAGCCTCTGGGTAAATGTGCTGCTCTAAACTTTGCATTTGGTGTCATGGTTTTTAATTATTTGGGGACGTTCAATGCCAACAGAGTTCTGTTTTTCCATCCTGCTTGTGCGAAGAGATGAGTCGAATCTCTCTCTCCCCAATGAGGAAACAACTGTGGAAAGCCGGAGTGGCCAACAATCAAAACATTTTTATGCATTTCATCTACTGATTTATGTATCTAATTTCTCAAGACAGCTTGAAGTGAGTTAACTTGTGAATATTTTACTGGAGGAAAAATATCAAGATATATATCATATATCCGAATTCAGCTAAAAATATCGAGATATAAGTTTTTGTCCATATCGCCCATTCCTATTGGTGGGTAGCTACATCTGAGAGCTTTTTCCTTGCACCACATTTTAGAACAACACTTAGATCGGGGTCGGCAACCCGCGGCTCTGGAGCCGCATGCGGCGCTTCCATCCATCTGACGCCGGGGACACACCGGCCGCTGAAGCGCCGGGAGGCGAAGCGCTCACGAAATTCGGCCGCTGCTCCTCAGTTCAGTCCAGATGCTTGTTTCTCCGCTCCGGTCGAGGCGCGCCTCGTAGTTTCTTTAAAAGACTTGGTGTCCTCCATTTCCTTTCCACCTTTTCTCTGCTCTTTTCCTCGACACCCTCCTCCCCCTTGCTGTTTGTGTGTGTGTGGGTTTGTACGTGTGTGTGTGTGTGTGTGTGTGTGTGTGTGTGTGTGTGAACCAAGCCCCCACAATGCGGCTCTAAAATTGGTCTCAACCCGGAAGTACCAAAAATTGCAGTTCCCCCCTCATCTGCTGGGGGCTGGTGTCAGAAGCGAGCAAATCCTCATGGACTCCCATGTTAAAATACCAATTTCACAGCAGAAATTAACATGTTTACAGCCTGGTACCAAAACATGTTTTTTGTTTAAATGATCTAGTTTGCACTCATGACAACTCTGAGGGGGGTGAATTTTTTTCTCACTCTTCTGTTAAGTGTATTAAAAGCCTAAAATTCTGTATAATGAGCCTCAGACCCACGTGACCACAGAGCTAGCTCCGTGGAAAGGCCTCAGTAGAGCCTCGGTCTGGCTTGGAAACTGTTTCGGGATTTTGAGTCTCTGCTTGTGTATTCTTTTTTGGATATTTTTTGTGCAATTGTTGGACAAAATTACTTGCTGTGGCATTAATTGCACTAATAGAGCGTCCAAGGAGTCTCCACTTCATTTTTTTTCAGTAAGTAAAATTATATTTATGTATTTTAGGTCACTGCCGAGCTGAGCTTAGATTTTAACATGTACTGTTTAACCATGAAATTTAAATATAATAGGGTAAAACCCAGTGCATTTAACATAATGCTGCACTTTAGAAAATGGGTTGAAATATAACATGTTGGTGGAGCTGGGTTCCTACTATCGGCTTGTGGAGCTCTCGGGGACCGATGTTTTCCACCCATTTCTCCCCTCCCCGCAGCCCGGCGCATCTTTGTCTGATTGCGGCTTCGGTGTGCTGCACGGGCTGACGGCTTGTGGAGCTCTGGGATGGAAACCTTTCCACCTGGTTCTCCCCAGCGGCAGCTCTGCGCATCTCAGATTGCTGCAGCGCTTGTCTGCTGTGCGGCTGCCGGCTTGTGGAGGTCTCGGAGACCTCTATGTTCCACCCGGTTTTACCCAGCGGTCAGCCTGGCGTATCTCTGACTCAGAAGCTCTGGTGTTGTGCAGTTAACTCCGGTTGTAGCTAGGTTGCTACCTCCATTAGCTTAGCTCCCACCTCCACATTAGCTTTGGGTTAGCTTCAGGTTAGCTTGTAGCTAGTTCGACCGGGTGTCGTCAGTTGATCCCAGCCTTAAAGCCCCACTCTCAGCTCCACCTCTCTTCCCTTTTATGGAATTGTCTGGGCTTGACGGAACCTGTGACACGGTCAAAATGGCGGTGGTGGCCACCTCCCATTTTAGTACAAAAACTTATTATTGGAGTCTATGAAACCCATTGTCCATATATGTATGTTGATGGTGTGAACCTATGGTGTGAATCAGTTGTTAATAGCTGGCCTACGACTTTCTGCTTCTCTGTCCTGTTTGCTCTGGTTGAAAGACACCCAAAACCACACCCCCTTCATGTGGTCTCACACACACACACAAGTTCGCTGTGTGTGTGTGTGTGTGTGTGTGTGTTCGTGTGGTTTTTATGCAGTGTCTGTTTACGAAGACATTTGACTATCGCGGAGTTTTATTTTGAAATGCTTTTTTTTTGTTCAGTTTACCGGCCTGCCTCTTATGTCTAGGTTTGACTTCCTGCCAGAATTGATGCGGTTCACCCGCGGCTTGCGAAAAAAAATAGAGCAGACGCCAAAATGAGTGGGCCGGAGTGCCGGTGCGCGGCGCTTCGGCGGCCCATGTGGTCTATAGAATAGGATAACAAGGGCGCCGAATGAAGGCGGTCCCAATTTCGCGTCGCTTTGGCGGACGCTGTGTCCCCGGCATCATGCGGCTCTCTGTGCTTGTAAAATAAAGAATGGAAATTTAAATTAAAAGCTTTATATTTTACTGCATTAATTTTACATCTGTATGCCAATTCTAAATGTAAAGATTGTCTGCGTAAACCTGAATAGGTCCAACCCAGTCTTACTGTGAGACAGGGTTGACGGGTCACGCTTGTGCGTAATCAGGCGCTTTCTGAGCTGGAGAGTCTATGAGATTCTGGGCTTCTCAGACAGGCTCCTGGATGCATCCCCACATTGGAGATAGGAACAAGCGCTATTCAGCCAATGTTTCATTATCAGGGAGCATTTTCTAAGTGACAAGTCTCTCTGAGACACAGGGTTTGGAAAACACTCGCTTCAGTGGGATGAATCTTCCCGCATGCGCTCTGGTTCTGCAACACGCTCCAAGCCCCTCTCCACATCTTCAGCTCACTGTGCACCTTACATATGCGCTGACAGCGAGCTGCGCTGAGCGGTGTCCAGCTCAGATGTTCAGATGGGAATCATTTCTTGAGTGATTTAGCTACATCTGTGATGTGCGTAACAAATAAAATGTCAGTTCGTCTGCATGCGTCGGGGTATTTCTTTCTATTCTTTCTCCGTCAAAATAAAAAGTCAAATACGGGAACTATCCTTTCAACCAGGGTCCGAAATTAAATTTTTTACTCACCGGCCAAGTTGGCCGGTAGATGATGAAAATCTACCGGCCAAGCATATTTTTTACCGGCCAAAATTCTAAATGATTTAGATCTACCTAAAGCATGTAATTCTATATTATGTTGATTCCAAACAGAGTGACAAAATAATTAAAACATCAATTAATAAGGAAAACAACTCTTTTGTCATTTTTACTATTTATTTATTTATTTTTAGAGATGTTTTTATGAACTCTTTCATTGAAATCTAGTCAGACTCCTTGTTTTCTCTGTCCATGCTTCTGACACCGTCTTTGTGCCAAAGCATTACAGCCTCATTTGGGTCATAGTCCTTGATCTCTGGAGAACACAGCTGCAGCATGAGAATATCTGAAAGTGTGTCAGGATTAGGGTTGTCACGGTAACCGGTGTAGCGGTAAACCCCGGTAAAAAAGTTCACAATAATAATAACCGTCTTGTTTAAAAAAAATATCTCGGTGGATTACCGTGGCTGCGGTGTAGGCGCGGTGACCCTTACCAGCCACCGTATCATCTGTTGGAAGTTGCCGGCGGCACATGCGCACTTTGTTGTTTACGACCAAAACTTTCTTTAAGCTAAAGCTGAAATAATGGCAGGAGGAGACGGCAGCACTTGGGACATTTGTTATCCCTCAAAGAAGACAAAGTTGGAAGTACGGGCATCTTTTGGATATTTGAAGAATGCCGAGGGACAGTTGTCTGTGAAAGGCAGCAACGCTACGTGGCCATCATAATGCAGGCATTGTCTCACGACTCCGCCGTCTCCAGTTCGCCTCTTTTCACAAAATCTTCTGGTTGCCACTGGTCCTGGTGGTTTTTCTTCCAGTTCGACGAGTTTTCCTTTGGAAGGCTGGCTGACTCCAGTTAAAAACCACCACATTTCACCGCTAGTTTTAACACGAAGCTAACTGCTAACTTGGTAAATTGAATGGGATAGGTGGAAATGACGTTGGATGCGGCGTTCACGTTTCACGTACGTTTGTGTACGTTGCATGCAGGCGGGAGGAGCATCAGACATCCATGGAAGATGACTGATAAACATAACTAATTTGGTGCAAACATTTACTCGCCAGGTGACAGGTAGAGCTCAAAAATTTACTCGCCAAATGGAGCAATTTACTCGCATTTGGCGAGTGGCGAGTGTTAATTTCGGACCCTGCTTTCAACACAAGCCCTGCTTTTAACTGTTTTGTTTTCTTGTGAAAATTGTTGCAAAGAGATAAAATTAAACTCGATTAACACCAGAGCCAGGCGCACTGTGCCGTTATAACCGTCACTGTAAATGAGGGAAAAAACACATTGATCGGATCCTTTTCTTACCTTCCCCACCTACAAAGTTTAATTACAAGAATGAAACAAGACAGAGCCTGGATTTGTATTCTGAACAGTTTAAACATGTTTTAAAAAGAAACGTCTGACAAAAGTGGCACCTGCTCAGTAAAACCACTAACAAGATGAAAAATATAATAATTTTGTGACAGAGACGGGCTACAACTTCTGGATTCATTTTATACAAATCATTTTATTGATTGTCTTCTGTTGAAAGATAACTTTGACGTACACGAGCAACCGGTATTGGCTGCCATCACCTGTTGTGATTGGTTAAAGCAGCTCTCTGCTGTGGCTCCCAGTGTTTTCTTTACTGTGGGAAACGGGTAATAATGGCTCTTTGATGGAAACAGGTTGCCAACCCCTAGCTTAGATCTTTCCTGTCTGAGGAAATATAACATGTCTAAACTTTGGTGCAGAACCACAGTCCACCTGTCCAATCTTTCCTTTTTGCACTACAAACTGTTTGTGGAGGTCTGGTTGTCTTTATCATTTAAAAAAATAATAAATTTTTATTGCCTGTGAAATGGGTAAATAACTTTTCTATTCATCAGCTTAACTGTTGGGGAGATAATATCATGCCAGTTTTCTGTATTTGATTATGCCAACTGTGAACAAATGTACTAATCTCTTCACCCCCATCATGAGTCCCGTTTGTGCTCTCATGATGGGTTCTGAACAAAAGGTCATTGTGAGATAGGAGCGATTCAGGTTACATAAGTGCGATGAAGTCAGCTGTAGAATGTGTTTACTGACCCTGCTGAGTTCGACCCTGACCCCAACAAGCCAGAATCTTGTTTGTGAAGTTAAAGGTTGCTTGAGGTTTTGTTCAATGTGATCCAATGACTTCACAATATTTACTTCAGTGATTCTGTAGATGGTTGTTTATTTTTTTATTATTAGCAATGGGGAGCTGCTTAAATCATCTAAAAGGCCTAATTTTGTTTTAAGAAAATGTTTGAACGTATCTTTAGTTAAATGAGCCAAGGGAATATGGCTTATTGTTCTTTTTGATGTAGTTAGCTGAGAGTTGATAATGTAGCTGAGAGTTGATAATGTAAACAGATTGTCAGCTGCTTTCGTTGTAGTGAAACTGTGTGATCTCTGAATCAGGTCTTTTCATCTTTAGCTCCAGTCATTTGTTCTTTTCTCTATCGCTCATTTGGTTCAGTGGTCTGTGACAAGACAGCAGCAGCTCTCAGGTAGTCTGTTTGGAGATAACCTTCTTCAGGGAACCTAAGGCATAAACACAAGACCAATCTAAAAACAGAAAGAAACCCTCGTTGAAGACAATTACTGACAGAAGCTTAAGGGGGGAAAGAAGGCCAAGACGTGGCCATTTTCTTAGCTACTCTGATAAGAAATTGCTCTTTTCTCTTTTCAGACGGACACCATGAACTACGTGGGCCAGCTGGCGGGTCAGGTTCTGGTTACCGTCAAAGAGCTGTACAAGGGCATCAATCAGGCCACTTTGTCAGGCTGTATTGATGTTGTTGTTGTCCGTCAAAGAGATGGCACCTACCAGTGCTCCCCGTTCCACGTGCGTTTCGGCAAGCTGGGTGTGCTACGCTCCAAAGAAAAAGTGGTAGGTTCAATTTTGTCTATTTTATCAGCTTATTTGAGATTATATATAGTAGATTGCAGATTTCAGTTATTTTTCAATGAGTAATTATAAACTATTGAAGACAGAAGTCATGAGTCATGATTCTCACATTTTTTTCTGTACTTGCAGAAGATGTTTTTGTTATATGAATATATAATTACCTAGAGATGCAGTCCATTTAATCATGGCTCTGAAACTGTTGTAGTATTTTTAGTCCTCGCTTTTTACTTGAGGGTAATTCCATTTGTGTGGTGTCTTGTCTGGCCTGATTATTGAGAAGGGACAGCAGGATGGGCCAAGTTTAGATGCCAAAGTACCAGCACAGAAAAGTAGAGCTGCATGTTGGGTATAGAAGAGAGGAACTGGCTTTAGTAAAACATTCCAAGCTTTTACTTGAATCAGAAATGGAGTACACAGTGACTACGTTTACATGCAGCCAATATCCGGGTTATGATCGGGTTAAGGTCGGTATTCGGGTTTCTGAGTTGATCAGAATAACCCGTTTACAAGCATAAATAGAAAGAGTTACCCCTAACTTGCATAACCTGATTTAAATGCGGACGTTGGGGTAGCGTCAGGACGTATGTACTACGTCAAGACGCAATATGCGTCATATTTCGCTGTCTCTGTACTTTCGTCCATCAACAAAAGACATAATGTTCATACTTTTCACCAGACCGATGAAGACAGAGGTTTCCTCGTCACTCCAAAAGTGTGCTGCTGTGCCGCGACTCGCCATGTTGCTCCCAACTTGTTGTTGGGGCGACGGTAGCACAGGAGTTAAGTGCTCGCCCCGTAATCGGAAGGTTGCGGGTTCGAGCCCCGCTCAGTCTGTCGCTGTTGTTGTGTCCTTGGGCAAGACACTTAACCCACGTTGCCTGCTGGTGGTGGTCGGAGGGACCGGTGGCGCCAGTGCGCGGCAGCCTCGCCTCTGTCAGTGCGCCCCAGGGCAGCTGTGGCTACATCGTAGCTCATCCCCACCAGTGTGTGAATGGGTGAATCACTGATTGTGTTGTAAAGCGCCTTGGGGGGGTTCCAGGACTCTAGAAGGCGCTATATTAAATGCAGGCCATTTACCATTTTACCATTTGTTTACTTCCGGTGTTCTGGCGCATACAAGACGTCTCGCTACTCAAAAAACCAAGATACCTTGCAAACAGAGCATGCGCAGAACACACGCTTTGATGGGGATATCCCGATATGCGTTTACACGACCAAACATTCGGGATAGAAAAGGGTTACCCCAGGTGTAGTAACCGGGTTTTTAAAAACCCGGTTATGAGCATATCCGGGGTTTTGGCGGTGTTTACAAGGACCTGCGGAACCGGGTTATTGTGAATATTCGGGTTTTAAAAGGGTTACTGGCTGCATGTAAACGCATTCAGTGTTTTGTGGGGCACTGACGCACTGTCTTAACACCTTCCTAGAATGCTGATTGGCTTGGGGGGAGGGATGAATGAGCTGTTTCTATGGAAACGGCTTTACAACTTGAATGTGTGGGGGAAGAGGGAGAAAAAACTGAGAAGGCTAAAAAAACGAGCTGTTCTGTAGCAGTTTTGACAATCTCCAAAAAAGCAACCCTCAGACCTGAGAGCTGCTTCTTCTTATTTCTAGTTATCGGTCCATAGTATACAAAAAAGTGGTTTCTAACTTGTTTAGAGGTAAACAAATACATTATTTTAGTCAAGGATTAATGTAGATTACAAAAGTAAAAAAGGTGAGATTTGTCTAGGCTGCATGTCAGATCTTTTCTTTTTTCACCTACCCATTGCTTGTAGTAAATAATCCAGTAATCAGACATGTCATCAATGTGCAAATCAACCACTTAAATGAATGTGACCTCTTACTGCAAATGGGTCAAGAGGACTCATTTGTTCTGTGTCATTAATCAGGCCTTGACATTCTCAACCACCACCATCAAACAGGTTCCCCATACCTCTCCTGAAAGGGTTGGAGTTGCATTTTAAGCCTGGGGCACACCGGAGGCGGACGCGCCGCGTTGCGTCCGAGATTTTGAGAAGTCAAGTGGTCACACAGGATGCGCCACGTCGCTGCGTACTTTTTGGAAAGTTGCGCGATAGTCAACATCACGCAGGACTTGAGAACAGAAAGCAGGAAGTGACTATTGTTTAGACGTGATCAGACTTGCCGTCGTGTTTTGTGAGACTGAAATTCATTAACAGTGGGTAAGTACGCTATTTATTAGAATATTTTAAGATCATTAGTACTTAAAAGTTATCAAAACTGCGCCTCCACCTCCGGTGTGCCCCCGCACCAGTTTCACACTGGAAGCATCAGCGGCGCGAAACGGCAGTGGAACGGTTTACTCACGAACTTCAAAGCTGTCTTTTTCACACCGGGAGAGTCTTGGCAGTGGCTCGGCTTCCTCACTGCTCTTCGCTGGACTCACGAGATCACAATGTCCCTCGATACTTCTCTGTTTGTTTTTGCAATCCACCATTAAACGAAAAAGAAAGAAATCATGTTTGATTTTGCTGTTTGATGTCATATATGATGTTGTTCCCCTCCACTGCCAGGATTAAATCCATGAAAACACACCGCTGCACTTCTGGAACAATGCTGTGAGGGAATGAGCCATTGGGTCTCACTTAAGCATCATATATATGAAATTGCATGGCTGCAGTACTTTTATTTTGAAATTCACCACTGATTTTACACTGAAACCGCGTGTGATTTCCTGTCTAGCCCTATGTTGTGAAATTGACCCATCCCAGAAGGGGTGCGTGGCAAAAATGCAACCCGATCCTATCTTTAGTAGTGCTGCGGGCCGCTTCTGTGATACGCCTGGAAATTGCCGCATTGCTGCTGGTTTGAAACTCTCCTTAGACTATAATGGATTCTATTTGAAGCAGTGACGTTCCTCTGTCGTTCCGCGCTGCCGATGCTTTCAGTGTGAAACCGGGGCCAGGCTTTTATTCTCCAGAGAAACTGGACCTACAGCAAAGTAGAACAAGCAGAAAATATGGCATAAATCATACGACCGGGTAAAACCAGATTATTCTTGTGGTTACTGGGGACTAAATGGGGCAGCAGTAGCTCAACAGGTTAAGTGGGTTCTCCTGTAATCGGAAGGTTGCAGGTTCAATCCCGGCTCCGGACAGAGAATGCTGCTGTTGTGTCCTTGGGCAAGACACTTAACCTGCCTTGCCTGCTGGTGGTGGTCGGAGGGACCGGTGGCGCCTGTGCTTGGCAGCCTCACCTCTGTCAGTGCGCCCCAGGGCAGCTGTGGCTAAGTCATAGCTCATCCCCACCAGTGTGTGAATGGATGAATGATACACTGTAGTGTAAAGCGCTTTGGAGTCCTTACTCTGAGAGGCGCTATACAAGTGCGGGTCATTTATCATTTAATATCATTGACTTGAATTGCAAAGCAATTGTGATTCAAAGACAGCCTTTTCTGTATTGTGGACCAGATAGTAGCCTCTCCTTTGTTTCTCTGTGGTGTCGAGTTTCTGAATGGAGTCCAGTCCTCTGGGTTTGCCTGGCAGATTTGAGAGGCCTTGTTTAGTTTCTAGCTGTACGAAATGGAACTTCAGAAGATTCAAATGCTGATTAGGATTAAGCTTCTGTCAGATCGGGGGGCTACAAAAGATTTCATTTTAAGCATGGATTTAGTCGTCCAATAAAACAACAAAATATGAGGTTTAATTTATATTAAAGTCCCATTAGTCATCACACACTGGTGAAATTCATCTCCACATTTGACCCGTCCCCTGGGGGAGCGGTGAACTGCAGCCGCGCTCGGGAACCATTTGGTGGTTTAACCCCCAATCCAACCCCTTAAAGCGGAGTGTAAAGCAGGGAGGCATTGGGTCCCATTGTTAGTCTGGTATGACCTGATTTGAACCCTGATCTCCTCAGGGCAGACACTCTACCACAAGTCACTGAGAAGGTCTCTGTAGTGAGTAAATTATTGTTGATCTTAGTTTTTGTCAGAAATTTGCAGAAATAAGAGAGAGCATGAATTTGTGGCTTCAAACCTTTGGACCATTGATAATCTGCTTTAATCTTTTTCACCTTGCCTTTTTCTCATTTTCACAACCCTGTTCTGATGTAGCAGTTTAGGCTTGATCATATTTGTTTCTATGTAAACTGAGATTAAGAATCTGTGCTAATTCTTCAGATTGACATTGAAGTGAACGGAGAGCCTGTAGAACTACACATGAAGCTTGGTGACAATGGAGAGGCCTTTTTTGTCCAGGAAGCTGAAGAACTGAACGTAAGCATAACAACTACAGATGAAACCTCCATTTTAACAATAACCATATTTAAATTTGCTTAAGGACTATAGGAGTGTTGGTGTTAGAGACAAACGTTGGCTCCTGCTTAACCATGCTTTCATTTTTTATGTCCCTCCCTTTTTGTTTTAGCAGATTGTCCCTGCCCATCTGGCCACCTCCCCAATTCCTACAGAAAGTCATTTGTTCTGGATCTCAGAGGTGGAGCAAAGGACATCCAAAGATCTAAACGATGACCCTGCTGACCCTGAGGACCCACCTGAGCCTCCAGCTCCCAGTAATACAGCAACAAAAAAGAAGAAAAGACGAAGGAAAAAGCACAAAGGAGACCCTCGCAGGGAAGAGCCAACCCCACCGATGTCGGTTACTTCCAGTAATATTGCTGCTACAGCTGCTGCTATCTCCAGTAATGGACAGAACGACGAGATCTTTGAGATGGACTTGAGCTCAGACGAAGAAGCTGTTGCGCACGTCTCAAGGTAATTTCAGTTGCTGTTTCAGTTTCTTTTTGATTATGAATGCATTTAAGTTTTTTTTAATTGTTATTTTTTTTTGTTTCTGGATTTAGATCACCTTCAGTCACCACAATTCGTGACATTGACCCCAAATTACCCGCAGCCAGACCTAACCTCGAAGGTTATCCTCTGTCTGATGGTGAATGGCCGTTGGGTGATGGGTATGTAGATGAACATGGAGCTGTCAGCCGTGGTAAAGAACCAACACAGGGAAATGTATATATCTGTCTGTGTTTCTCTGTGTTCCTTTAGTCATGGCTTGTCTCAGGCTTTCTCCCCGAAGAGTGACTCTGAACTGGTGATGAGACCTTCAGAGAGTTTGCTCAGAGCTGAGTCCCACATGCAGTGGACATGGGGGGAATTTCCAGAAACAACCAGGGTGAGCACATTTTCTTAGCCACATTGTTTTTTTCAGTAAGCTAGTCCTAATAATCACTGCTGTTCCCTAACCAGATCACTAAGAAAGAGAGACCAGAACCACTGAGAACTGTGACCATCACCCCATCAGAGAGCACTCACTTCCGTGTCATCCTCAGCTCAGAGGCCATGGAGAAAGAAGGAGAAACTGAAAAGGAGGATAGCACTCCCTCAGTGTGTACCATAGTCAAACCCGAGCCACGCAGCCCTATCCCCACCCTACCTCCTGATAATTCTCTATCATCTGTCAGCACCATAACCTCTGTGAGCCCCATAGCCCCTACAGAGCCCCTTGATGCTCTTCCATCTAACGTGAACACCTCTACCCCTTCAAATAGTCACCTGACGGATTCTCCCTCTAAGAAGAAAGGTATGTCAGGATGACTGCTGCTGACGTGGTTAGAACTCATTAAAATGTGCCTAAATAGTAAATAAATACATTTCTTTTTTAATTAAAGGAGTCCCAAAAAGGAGTCAGCATCAGGGCCCTGAGGACATCTACTTAGATGACCTGAATGTACTTGAACCTGATGTAGCTGCTAGATATTTTCCTAAGAGGTTTGTTTTTACGCAGAGCACTGAAATACCTGACCCATTTCAGATTAAAAAGAAGCTGTACTTTAAAATGGAACTATTAGGTAGAAATGGATCCTCCTCTAAAATCACTAATTAGTGTATCAAATAAAAATAAAAATGACACGTTTTTCTTGTTTTTCCTGTTCCAGTGAGTCTGAGGCAACGACGAAACACTGGGTGGACTCTGAGATCCACTCTGGCTCACAGTCTCCTCAGTCTGTGGGCAGCGCAGCAGCGGACAGCGGGACAGAATGTCTGTCTGACTCAGCCAGTGACCTCCCTGATGTCACTCTTTCTCTGTGTGGAGGTCTCACAGAAAATGCAGAAATATCCAAAGGTACATAAAAGTCAGCCTAAAAGGCATTTTTTATTGAATGAAGCTACTTATGTGACCCATTTATCATCCGTGGAGGCTCTTGTTCAAACACCCATTTTCTTTATATCTTCTTTAAGTGTCATAAAGTCTCAAACTGTTGGGTTTTAATTTATTCAACCTTTTTTGTGTTGTAAAGTCTTATATTGTGATGATACTATCGAGGGATGTTCCGATCACGTTAATTTTGCTTCCAACTCCGAGTCATTTGATTTTAAGAATCTGCTGGGTCCCGTTCCTATACTTGAGAAATGCATTAAGAAAAAAGGAGAACACACTAGAGTTGTCCTTTAATTTATGTTTAATCATGAATGCATTTCTTTCTGTATTTGTCATTTCTTTAGTTTATTTGTCATAAACATCACTTGTTTAGGAAGTACATTAATAGGAAACATGTTAAAATTATAAATAAATGTAAAAGTAGCCTTATTGCTCATATTTTAACTTGTTTACTCGGTGTGCAGCGATTTTCAGCGACAGGTATAGCATGGCACATGACTGTCTGCAGCAGAGTAACTTTTTTCTATAAAACACCTGTGGAGCTGCCGTGTTTGTAAAAGTAGGAAGAGAAAGCCGATCATACCGCGACACGAGGAGACTGCAGAACCTGATGCCTGCATCCACAGACGCTCACCCAGTGTGATAAATGTGCTGCTATCTTCACATTTATGCTGTCCGTAGACTATTTCTCGGTTTCTTAATGTATCTTGTAGTGTTGACGGGCTTAGCTGTATTGCTGCAGTGAACTGAGCAGGGTCGGTTATATTGTTTTTAAGGTGGCGTATCGGTGTTGAACGCAGCACTACCTTTTCCTCCTCATTAACTGCCCAGTTTGCACACATTACACATGCTTAATACACTCCCTTTGCTGTAAAAATACATCTAAAAAACAGACATTTTCCCTCTATTAAGGGTGACAAGTATGCTCTGTGTTAGCTAACTGCTACATGTTGTGCATGAATTCCCAGACTACCTTAAATTGTGGGACTTACAGCATTGATGTCTGTGAAACAAAGAGTACTGATGTAGAGGAACTTGTTGAATTTAAAACTAATCCATTGTTTTTTCATTAGAAAATCTCTTTTGGGATGAATTTAAAAAGTAATGGTTGTTGTTTTATTTGGTTAAATCTGATTTATCCCACTGATTCAGATTTCCTGAAACTCGTGATTGGATCGGAGCATCCCTACTACTAACCATTTTATCTGCTGTCTGTTTGCAGAAAGATTTATGGAACACATCATCACATATCACGAGTTTGCTGAAAATCCAGCAATTATCGATAACCCCAACTTAGTGGTAAAGATAGGAAATAGGTTTGTAAGCTGTTTTATTTCATGTGCATTTTAAATGTGCGTTGTTATTGTGAGTAAACAGTTTTTTAAGACTTTTTATTTTTATTTTTTGCAGGTATTACAACTGGACGTTAGCTGCTCCTTTGATTTTAAGTCTGCAAGCATTTCAAAAGAATTTACCAAAGGTGATTTATTAAACAGTCATTTTTGCTTTATATTAATTTAAATTGTCAACAAGCTCATTCTGTTTGTACTTTTGTCTATTAAAGGCTACAGAGGAGGCCTGGGTGAAGGAAAAAATGCCAAAGAAGTCTGGTCGTTGGTGGTTCTGGCGAAAGAGGGCGGATAGTACAATCAAGCAGGTATGCCGTGTTATCAGAATTGAAAGCAAATAGTGCATTGTATAATGTTTTTGCCTTTGTAACATAGTTTATTTGACCATGCTAACGTTGTACAAATTTCTTCCTCCCTCCACAGTCTGAGACTAAGCCTGAAGCCAAGGAGGAGTCTCAGTTAGAGGAAGGACCGTCCATGTCTCAGGAAAGCTTGGTTTTATCGTACGTGTTAAACATTTCAGATATCAGGTCGTTTTGAGAATCAAGCTGAATGGATGGAGTTGGTAAACAAATGTTTTCAGTTTAAAAGGAACAGGAATGAAAGATGGAAACAGTTTCTGGAATAGGATAGAAAATTCATTCATTCATTCAAATTAATGTCTCAGAATAAACAAACACTGTACCTCCCTTGCCCTGCAGACCTAAAGCAGGAGACACCTCCAGTGACGAGGAGGCCAAGGAGGTCAGTGCTGCGTCCTGTCAGGAGAGGCTGCAGCCAGGAGATGCTCCACACCATTCCAACACACACACTTACAGGAAGTCCTTGCGTCTTTCCTCTGATCAAATAGTAAGTTCAGTTCTGCAGATTTAATTTCCTTTAAACAATTTTACAGACTTCACAGGTCACTTTACTCATCAAGTTGATTTTTTATGGTAAGAAATAATAATAGAAACTGAAATATAGCATTCATTAACGTTGGTACTTTGAAGTTGGTTTATTTGGTGTTTCAGAGCTCCATCTGCTGGTTGCTTCTAAAGTCCAGAGTGTTTGTCCCACATTCTGTCAGTAGGGGGCACTAAAGACTTGTAGAATATTGGTGGTAATGAAGCAGAGCCATTAATGTGTAAAGTAATGCCCATGTTGTTGGACTGTTTTGTTGTTTAGGAATTATTTTGTTTCTCATGCTTTGATCTTCTGTGCTTTCAGGCCAGTCTGAAACTGAAAGAGGGACCAAACGATGTGACTTTTAGCATCACCACCCAATACCAGGGCACATGCCGCTGTGAGGGCACCATCTACCTGTGGAACTGGGATGACAAAGTCATCATCTCTGACATCGATGGCACCATCACCAAGTGTGTGCTTTTAAATAATAATTCCTCTGAAATGTTCGTACAGCTTTTTATATTATTATTTTTTTAAGGTGGACGCACATTTGTGTGGGAACTTCTACTTAATTATCTGCTCACAACATTGCCTATAATTATCAACTGTTATTTGTACTCTTGTTAGTGCCTCTTTCAACTTTCCTCTTACATGTAGATCTACTTAAAATGACTTAAAGGCCAGACTGCACACATCCATTCAAGAGGAATGAAAGCTACTCTAGCATTAGCAAAAACTGCATCTGACACATTTATCTGATCAGTCCTCGAGTTATGAGGCAGACAACAGTGGCTTAACTCATTCACTGCCAGCCGTTTACTGATCAGAAAAGCCCTTCGCTGCCAACGTTTTCAGCGTTTTCAATGTTTTTTAAGATTCCCAGAACTTTGTGCTCTATGATGATGTTGACGCCAAAACAACCAAAACAAAGTAGACTCACCTCTTACATCAGGAAGAATCTGCGTGTTTCGAGCGTTATCCATTCTTTCATAATCCGTTGTCAAATTGTGATTGACAGAAGCTTTTCCAGTTCGCACCTCGCGTTTGTTTTGGGCCGCTGCTGTAAAAAAAAAAAATCTCCTAACGCCTGGATTTTCTGCTTCTTGGTCATGTGGCGTGTGACATACGCGGATGAAGATCAGCCTTAGAGCTGTGGTGTTTGTTCTCACGGTGCGGTGGCTCGTTCCGATGCCCACACAGTAAAAAAATGCAAATGACGACTTTAGTCGTCCATGGCAGTGAATGAGTTAATGTAATGTTTGCCTGTTACAATCCTATATTTGAATGTAAACACCTACAAATTAAACAGAATTGTTGAATTTATTGAATAGTTAACATTAAATCTGTTCTGCACTTAAATAATCATTTGTGAGGATCAAACTGATCCAGGCGGACTGCAGCTTATTATCTCTATGGCCCTTCAGGCCAACCTGTGACGCGTCACACTTTGAAGGAGAGGTTGAAAAGCAAAGGAACTATAATGAGCCCATTTACATTTTAGTCTAAACGCACATAGCCATAAGCTGAGGCTGAGACTGTCTCCTCTATGAGCCAGTGATCCTCATTAGCAGGGAACATCCCATAATGTTCTGTATTCCTGATTAAATGTTAAAGCAGTCAAGGTGCTTTATTTGACCCCTTCTGAACAGTTTATACGCCTCATCTGTCCATTTTTTTCCTTTTCTCTGCACAAATAATCTCCGGCTGTATGTTTCGTGTTCACGAGGATTCTTATCATGCTAATATTTGTGTGTTTTAGGTCAGATGTGTTTGGACAGATTCTTCCACAGTTGGGAAAAGACTGGACTCACCAGGGCATTGCTAAGCTGTACCACTCTGTAGCCGAGTAAGTGCACAACAACCCGGAATAATCGGGGGAAGAATGACTCGCTGGGCTGTTTAGGAGCGCCATTTCCTCCCAGTGTTTTTGTGGGGAGCATTCATTAAAGTCAGACCTGAGTTAATGTGATTAGCTAAAAGCATCATTAACAAGATTCTCTCATTAGTTTTCTTTTGAACTTTTTGCAGCTTTAGTTATGTAAGCAGCAGAAAATGACCTACACCTGTAGGACCTGTGGTGACTGGACAGTGTTAATGAAGTGCATCTTTATTCTGTGTAATTGACTTGTTTTCCATTTACAGCACGTTATAGCAACACTTTATGGCAGGAATCAAATTTAATTGGCCCAGTGAAACGGTGTTAGTGTTAGAAATGGCTATGTTCATAATAATAGTGCTTATAGAGCAGTTACTATTAACCCTGCACTTCTCATTGACAGGAATGGATATAAATTTTTATATTGCTCAGCTCGGGCTATTGGCATGGCAGACATGACACGAGGTTACCTGCAGTGGGTCAACGATGGCGGGATCATCCTGCCAAGAGGACCACTCATGTTGTCTCCCAGCAGCCTGTTCTCAGCGTTCCACAGGTACAGTACCACGTGCTAATGTCCACTGCTTTTATTGTATCCAAGATACTTTTAAATAATAAATAGTCTTAATTTACATTAGAATAATTTTACATATATGGTTGTGTTGCCAACTAGAGTAATTCGTTTGCTCTTTGTTAGAATAGGGTATCCGTGGGGTCTTGAAAAATTTGGAGATCCCTGTTTATACCCTGTAGAATGTCTTGTTCATTCATTTTTATCCCAAGCATGATTTTAAAAAATTTGTTTGCAAATAGATGCTAAAATAGAAAAATTATTTGAATCCGCTAGATTTATTCCTGCTTTCCATCTGATTTATTAGTATTTCTATTTGGAGCTCTGCAACTATAGTACATTCTACTAATTCCCAATAATTTTATCCCTGTTATGAATATTAGCATTTGCTCTGAAAATCACAATAAAATGTTGTTGTTTTTGTTTTGTTAAACACTTAACAGAATTTAAAGAGCAGTTCACTGAGAAACCATTTTTGATTTAATATTTCTGAAAATGAGCAGTAACTCTTGAGTGCAGGCTCTAACGCGCGGCCTGAATGTGAAAATGGTCTCCTACACCTATCTCCTGCATTAGCTTCTTATGAAAACCCGACACGTCTGTGTCACATTGTCGCTTAACATTGATGGACTCACCCAGTCTGACTCATGGCGGGCAAGGCTGTTGTTGTTTTAGTGTCCAGGAAACGGCTGGGAGCGTTTTAGCTAGTAGAAGTTAACCATTACATTAGCACTTCCACAGCAAGGCGGAACTCCTTCAGGCTTGTGTTAGTTGTGGAGATACAACGTCAACGTTGCAAAGCAAATAAAGTCACTGGTAGAGTCACGTTGCTGTTAGCCAATCAGAGGAGAGATGTCCAAATATCAGGAACTAAGAATTTAGATCCTGTCGTCTGAAGCTACTTTCTCCTCCGGCTGACTTCTGTGTCCTCAAACAGCATCTGTGTTTTTTTCCCCAGAGTACGACTTACAAGGCACCGTTTATATTAGAGACCACTGCAAATGTAATAAAAATAAGAGTAAGCTTGATCTTCAAATATGTAGACAACAGTAGGGATACTATTTTATTACATCTTTGCTTCATAAACAGTCTTTATTTTATTTTATAGTTTAACATCAACTCCTCTCTAATAGAAAAGTATTTAGACACTTGGCTGTCTTTTTGAAGTGAAACCTGTTAAATATAATCTGAACAGAAAAATGTTTGTTCAGTTAATGTCGAACCTTGCCTGGATACACATCCAGGTCATGAAAATGAGTTTCTCTAACATAGTTGTTTATTTCAGGGAGGTCATTGAGAAGAAGCCAGAGATCTTCAAAATTGAATGCCTCACAGACATCAAGAACCTGTTTCAGCATAACAAGAGGCCGTTCTACGCCGCCTTTGGGAATAGAGCTAATGTAAGTTAATGCACGACCGAAGACATCAAACAGTAAAGTACCCGATTCTTACATGTTGGTGAGCTTTTCTTTTCCTTTTCTGTAGAAATCGATGCATTTTGCAATGTCACCACAGCACTTTAACTATCGTTTAGCAGGCACAAACATGTGAAATCGATATGGGCTTGAACCTGAGCTGAGGTCACTGATGAAGTGTAAGCCCATGTGACTTCATCTGTGGAAAGGAGTGAGCACAGCATCCCATCTTCAGCTGTGTAAACAACAAAATCCCACATGAAGCAGACACAGAAATTCTGTCTGTCTCTGTCACTCACCAAAGAAAGCAAAATGAGACCAAGAGTGAACACAGTCTTTGTCTTGTCCATCAAAACAATCACTTTAGAAATGTTGCCATTAAATGATTTGGGTGTAAAAGAAGCTGTAAATGTGTCGCTGTTACAGAGTCATTTATTTTAGTTTACACCAGTGTTGGAGGCTTTCGTCAGCCTTCCATCAGTCAGATGTTTGTAAAGACCTCACATATCATTCTGTGTGCAACAGGAAGTCTAATCCCTAAACAGTTTCCCTTCATCTGGATTTATCCCTGCTTGTTTTACTGGCTCCAGTAAACCTTACATCACTGTCTCTGTTTAGGATGTTTTTGCCTATAAGGAGGTGGGAGTCCCACTGTGTCGGATCTTTACTGTTAACCCCAAGGGAGAGCTGATCCAGGAGCAGACGAAGGGCAACAAGTCCTCGTAAGTACCTATTGAAAATCTGTGCACCCATCATTGACATGCAATACACATCTCACTGGGATCATTTGGTTCTGATTGCTTTGTTTTCAACTAAATATTTTACATTTTCCTTACAATTTCAGCCCTCCTGAATTCATTAGTGGGAACGTTAAAAAGCCTGAGTTACAGCCATATAAGATTATACAAATGATTTGAATACGTCAGTTTTTCTGTTCAGGGTTGCACTTCTTACTCTCTCCTCTAGCCTACTCTGAAAACGTTAGGGTAATATCGGTTCTCAAAGCTACTCAAAATGTGGTTTTCAAACAGGTCTTATAATTTGTTGCTCAGAAACAACCTACTTAAGGGTGTATAACACAGAAAAAGCATTTTTATGGTCATTTCTGTTTATAATTTGTCATGGTGAGTTTTTCATGCAGGCTGAACATAAATAGTCTCCTACACCTATCTCCTGCATTAAGGTTGGTTTATGCTTGACGCGTCCGCGCGGCTTCGCGCGGAAAAGTTGCGTCATTTTGCGTCATTTTAACAACCACGCCCCTCCACCGCGCCTCCGCACGGCCCAGAATTTCCGCAAAGCGCACCTCGGAAAATTTCTAACCACGCGGACGGACGGACGCGGAAAAACATGGCGGACCGGCAAGAACTAGTATGGCAGAGGTTCGTAAATACAGACATTTTTATGATTCAGCTCTCAGAGATCACCGTGATCAACATGTTGTTAATAATTCTTGGAGAGAAATAGCTCGCACTGTCGGAAAAGACGAGAACGCTGTTAAAAAATGCTGGAATGCCATGTTGTAAACATTAATTTCTACTTCTACTATGGTGTAGTGTTGGGTGCATGCCATAGAGCTCCATGCTGCCCCCTACAGTTTGGGAGAATATTGGCTCACCGCAGAGACAAGCTGCACGAACCATAAAAGCTGCGAGTTGTGAAGCGCGTTCCATCCGCGAGCCGCATCACCGCGCGGAAAGTGAATGCGTCAAGCATAAACCAAGCTTTAGCTTCTGAAAGAAAATAGACGGTGATACTCTAGGATTAGAAAGCCTGACAGATCTACGTCTTCATGGACTCACCCATTTTGACTCGGGACGTAGAAGGCTGTTGTTGGTTTAGCGTCCAGGAAACAGCAGATAACGTCTTGGCTAGTAGAAGCTAACCGTTCGAATTAGCAACTCCACCACATGGCACAAGCTCGTCCAGGCTTGTGTTATTTGTGAAGATAAAACATCAAAGTTGCAAAGCAAACTGTGCTAAGTGATAGTCATGTTGCTGCTATCCAATCAGAGGAGAGATGTCCAAATATCAGGAACTAAGACTCCAAATCCTGCTGTGTTCCGCCTCTCTCTCCCAGCTGACTCCTCTGTGGTGATACAGATGCATCTGGGCTCTTTGAAGTGCCACAAGGCTCTTGAAGTTTATTGTCCCGTTACCCAATTTAACATTTAGCCTTGAGAAGCCATTTGACTCAAATTGACTCAAAATGTACAAATATGTGACAGAAGACACTTAAAATATGCCTAAAACAGACCTGTTAGTGTTTTTTTCCACTCAGGATTATTTGGGTAGTTATGTTTAAAAGCCTTTTCGACTATCATCCCCACAAAGCGGGAGAGAGAGACATCAGTTTTAGAATTAATGACCAGTTTGAAATCTTTCGCCGTGTCATAGCTGTCTGAGTCATGCTGCAACAGATTTTAAAAGCTTGATGGGTTATTGCTCCAGATGACTCTGGTTTCCTGGACGTATTATGTAAAGAACTTAGGGATGACTCAGAACCTTTGTGTGTTTCTGTAAGCCATACGAGTCTCCTTGATTGCTGCTTTCCTCGCAGGAATGTCGTCTTTTACTGAAGATCGAGGAGTTCTCTTATAGCGGCTACTCCAAACGCACCTAACCTGCCCTTACTTTATCTACCTGTTTCACCGACATGGCAGCCTAACTATAATTAGCACCAGCCTTGTCTTTTATCGGACAGAAACTTGAATGTTGTCCCTGCCTTCTACGCTACTTTGTGTAAAAGCACTTAAGTGTAGGATCTGTTGTGATCTGTGTGTCCACAGTTACGGCAGACTGAGTGAGCTGGTGGAGCACGTGTTCCCTTTGTTGAGTAAAGAGCAGAACGAGGCCTTTGTGATGCCAGAGTACAGCTCCTTCTGTTACTGGAGACAGCCGCTACCACAGATCAACCCTGATGAGCTGCTCTGATGCTGCTCCCAGGGTCACCCAGGTATACATCGTCATGGGAATGGACTGAGCACCTATGGACCCATAGCACTTACACACACACACACACACAGACACACACACACACACACACACACACACGCACACACACACACACACACACACACACACACCGCTCTGCACTGAGTCTGACACAGAAAGTTATTAAAACAAACTTGAAAACTGTTAAAGTAAAAGATTAATAATAATCTGTAACAAAAACAAAAGTGCAGCTGTGGGACACAAGAAACAAATACCGACTCGTTCCAGGCTGCCAGTGCAATGACTACTCTTTAGTCCACAGGTCACAGCACTAACATAACTGTTTTTCTATACCATTGATCTGAAGGATGATTGTATCAGCCGTCGCACCAGGCGCTAGATTCTGGGTTCAACAGAAGATTTCTTGAGTTTTATTTGACACAAATGGATGAAACCTAATGCTCAGATCACCCTGGCAGCCATTTTTATTGTCTGATTTTCCTGTTAGGACCAGGTAACAGTAAAGTGACTTGTATGTTTGCCAGAATACACGTATTCACCATTTTAGGAAGAATAAAACTGGTAATCGTGACCTGCACGTATCACATTACACCACTTATGAAGCTAACTGTAGCAAAGCAGCTTTAGGAGTGCAGCTGTCCTCCCCCTCCTGTTTAGGAGACTCTCTTTGGTGGGTTTTGGTCCGTGTTCTCGTCTTTGGTTTTGTTTCTATTAAAGATACTATTTAAAATATGCCAAGTATGTGAACATGTCACTTAAGGACAAAATGAAGCAGCTTCATGATATGTTGTTGGTTTAAGATGTTTATTCTGTTATACGACCTCTGCCGAGCAAGTGTGTTCTGTTAACAATGCAGTAATTATTTATGATAGAGATGTTAAGTTATTCATTTATATCATCATTTTGCTTCTCTAAGAGTGATCAGTCGTCAAAGTGAAGGAGAAGTACTTCAGAATGGTATTTTGTGTAGTTGGACTTAATAATGTGCACTTAATTCTAACCGCTGGGCACTAAGTTTTTCATGTGTAAGGCAGATACAGCTTTCTGATTTAAATCCACAGCTTTAGTGTTAAAGTGTAAATGTAAAGAGAGAACACTTGAGTTGCATGGATCTGGAAGGCGTTTCCATTAGGAAGTTCCTGCTTTAAAAGATAAAAGGATGGCGTGTGTGCGTACCTAATCGCTGAGCGCTGCTGCTGGAGTGGTCTCTGTCCCCTCGGTGTCTTTAGAGACTCGTCTTACGCACTTTGTGTAAGCTGCACCCTCATAGGCAGCCTTAAAACGCACACCTTTGGCCTCAAGCCAGTGGATTATAAAAATGTGGGTCTATATCACCGAAAGAAGAGAATGATTGTGTGTCTGATAAATTAGTTTTTGTTTAAACGTAAACAGGAAATGCTTGACTCTGTCTAGGAAGCTAATTGATGCACTTCCTTGGCATGTATGTATGATTTCAGAAACCATTATCCTTTATTACAGTATATCTTCCTCCAGAGTATAACGTGTTTGACTGAAACAGTAAAACAAAACCTTTTTTTTTTTTTGGTTTAAAAAGAAAAAGCACAACGTATAAGACATCTAGATCTGATTTGTCCTTTAGTTCTTTGATGTTGATGCATTAGCTATGTCACTCTGATGCTTTTTGGAATAAAATGTGCTTTTTTGCTTGATTTCATTTGCTTGTTCAGTTTAAAAGTTTGAAGTCCGATAGATTTATCTTCTAATTAACAAAAGAATTTCATTCTTTCTATGAAAGTAAAACATCTCGTGTGAAAGAATCACACTCATCCTCTATGATCCTTGCATTTTTGTTACATAATGTGTTCTCACTTGATTGCTGTGGAAAATGATTTGATATAAATGCTGATCATCACTTTTTTCCATCTTGCTGCCTTTATTTTTGTTTTGTTATAAACGTATACGATCTGTTGTGGGACTGTTCTGTTTGGATGTAAAACGCTTGCTCTTTGATTGTGTCTGACAAGTAGAAATACCTTACATGTACGCTGTGTTTTAGTTGAATAGAGATGTGGTTTAATGTATGTTTAAAATATTCCCCTGTGAGAAGAGAAAAGAAAGCAGGCCTAATGATGCTAACAATATGTGGCTTGTGGTTCTATTTGTATAAAATTTCTAATTCAAAACATTCGTGTCTGCGTCACTTTTCAGCTCGAGTCAAAGACAAAAAGTTCAACAGTAACCACGGGCTCGTGGAGTAACTTTACCCTGGTGCTCGATTTCAAGGGACGGTGCATTAATGAGGTTGTTGCAGAAGGGAAAGAAAACCCTGGGGTTGTTTCAGATGTCTCTTACCGATCATCACAAACACAGTTTACAAGTTATTCAGAGCAGTTTTGTGTTTCACTTTAAGCTCTTTTTTTTTACTGAAAGCTAAACTGAGAAGCAAACTATTTCTGTAGTTTGCCTTTGGATATATATATATTTTATCTTTGAAGTGAGAAGAGATCTTTTGTTTTAACCACGCCCACTTTACGTAATGACCTAAAAGGGTTTATTCTATGCCGCTTCTGATGCTTGTTTTCATACATGTAAGAATCGATGCCTTGTGAGTCATTCTCTTCGGGGGGAAAGGCTCTCGTGCTCCTGGTTCAGTAGTTCAAGAGTAAATTAGCTGGAGGAGATGATTCTCATTAGTATTCATGAGATACAAACATCTCACTTCTGAGTGGCTAACGGCAACGCGACTCTACCACCAACTCTGAAACAATGTTTTATCTCCATAACATAAGCCTAAAGGTAAGAGTTCTGCCAATTTGTTGATTTGCTAATGCTAATGCTTCTGGCTACAAAAATAAACAGCTTTTCCCAGCCATGAGTCCACAAAGTGTGACATAGATCTATGGAGCTTTTTCCAGTCAAAGCGTTTTTGCATCTATTTCCTTTTAGTGTCTAAAGCCTAGTTTATGTTTCTGTGTCTGTATGGAGACACGCAACGCTATTATTAGTCGTTGCAAGGGCTCGCCAACAGACTCTTGAGGACTGATGGAGTCGAGGCCACTTTTCTAAACATCTGTCAAAGAAGACGGAGAACGCAAACTTGTGATTGGTCAGGATGCCACTTCCTTTACATTTGGTAACAGCACCTCCATTGCGCCCTCCAAAAAAAAAAAAACTGCACCGCTGATATCTAGTGGCAAACATGAAGCAGCTTGAAGAATATTTTGTGAAAAATATGAAGGCTTTATTCACCCGTGACTGCAATAGCAAAGATATACTCGGCAAGCGTTTTATTTGTGGATTAAAATGATAGGAAACGTGGTTTTAAGAGGTGCAAGGGAATGATGGACAAATTAGTCGGTGTTAAAAAGTCTCTTAAATACAAAAACAATACAAACGCAATAGTAACGATCTTGGACTGGATACATAACAAGAAACCTCAGAAAAGTGCTACGCCCTCTGTTGTCCTGGCAGGAAATTGCTTTGTAACACTCCCTAGGTGACCAAGTCTGAAGGCAAATGTTTCCGTCAATGCGTGTGCATGTCTCCCTCGTGGAGCTGACGCAGAAGCATGAACTAGGCTTAATTCAGGATGTAGAGGTAGACTATTTTAATGTTCAGCCTGCAGGTGAAGCTCCAAATGACTGATTATATTTCAAAATGAAGTAAAATACATTTCTCAGTGAACCCTATTCCAGGGATGGTTGAACATGTATATTTTGGAATCACGTTTGTTAAAAGACAATGAAAATGGTGGATTTTATTGTTAATTTACCAAAAAAATGACAACAGATACAAAAATCAGTTTAATGATCAAATATATTAGATACAACCCCCTGCCTGTAGCATTTAGCCTTCTCGCTAAAGGCTGGTAAAACTTCTTAGATGAACCCTTAACTGTGAATCTTCAGTGTGACATTGCACCTTCAATAGCTGCATCACATTAAATCAGTGAAAAATATGCTTCAACATCTCATTCAGTCAGAAACTCTTAACATTTAGTCCTCTCTACTGAGCTCCAGCTAGCTTTTGGCCTGCGATGCATACAGGAAGACGGCGTTATATGTGGAGAGGATTTCTCCAGACTCTGTTGTGGCCAGCTGGCCTTTGATCCTCCACAGGCTGACCCGGTCTCCTTTCCTCAGCGGGAGAATCAGACTAAAGGACACTGTTCCTCCAAAGCAGCAGGTTCCACCAGCTGAGGCCTTCTGTTGGCAATCCCCAGGTCCAGATGAGCTCCGAAGCCTGTGTATGCTGCGATTAGACACGGACAGCACAGCCTCTATGTGGTGCCCCAGCTTCGCAGTCAGCAGGCCTGATATCAAGTATCGGCCATTGTGTGGTACGGTAAAGGTTCCTGTGGACGAGAAGGGAAAAATGTTAAACATCTCAGGATTCTACTCCTGGGTGGTACTGTGTATCACACAAACACTTTATTGTCCATGTAAGTGCAAAAAAAAAAAAAAAAAAAACATTTAACTTAGCCACACTGTTAAATCAGGTAATCAAAGATTTTGCATCCATGATCCAGATGCAAGTAATAGCCAGTAAACATGCCAATTAGAAACATGCCATGTGTTTATAAATTATTAGCATCGCTACAGAATGCAGCATAATACACCCAAAGTGCCTGTCTGTGGTCCTAATGTAATGGCCTACTGATCGGAGCTCCATACAGAGATAAAAAGAATGATAGTAGACTAATACTTGTTTGATGGATGTGTAGCTAGGCAACCGACTGCTTAGTGTGGGTATATATAAACTTACATCCAGTAACTGATTATTATTATTTACTCTCTGTTTATCAGTTAATATCCACAAATGTCTGAGGAAATGTTTTTTAGATATTTAATATTCAAATGCTTTGTTCTAAGCTCCAAATGCTCTCATCATTACGTTTTTACTTATAGCAGCTCCTTATGGAACAACTGAAGTACCACAATAGAAAAAAAAACATCTACATGACACTGAGGAAATAAATGATAGAGTAAACTTGAACATAAATACTGTAGTGACTAAAGGTTCCTATGCTTTTTCTGAGTGCTCATGCATTTATTTCTAAAATAACGAGGAATTTTCCAGTTACTTTTGCTTTATTAGCTACGCCTAAAAAAAGAACAAAAATCGATACGATTGACAGGTCCTGAGGTTGCTCTAGCAAATATTACTCTTACAAGTCAACATCTCATACCTTTGCACCATATCTCAACTGTAAATCACTCACTCAAATGGTGTAATGTATGTATGAATCCTTCCTTCCCATGGCAACAATGCTGTAGCATGGACAGCACATGGAAAGCAGATTATTACATTCAAATCCCGCTACAAACTAAAACGAAGCACTTCGAGACCCTTGATAGTTACAAAGCTACATTAGATGTTTTTTATCTCTTTTATTTAAGAACTACAAAATAAATAGAAAATGAGGAAATCTGTAAAAAGACTGGGCAGCTCAGAATCCTGATGCTTTGTCTAATCCCATGTTTAGTCATATAACATGTATTTTGATTGGTTATGGGTGTACCTGTGTGGGGACTGTAGTGTCCTCCGTCATTGACCAGGACTTTATTAAAGCGAATGACGCCAAACTCTCTCATGAAGGCTGGCTGCTGAGTGAGGCCAGCAGAGAAGGAGAACGGGTCTGCAGGTCTACCATCGTCCACTGAAACTAGACAAGGATTATTCAGATTATTCGCTTTACATGCATTATTGTAACAGAGCACACATCCGTACTTTAACGTAAAGCTCTCAAAGCAGACGGGGTGGGAGACAGCCTAAACAAAAGAAACATTGATGTTATGTTAACATTATTTCACAGTACAGGGTAAGTATATCACTTTATGCATTTCTAAAAACAATCCTATATAAATCTAGCCTAGAAATCTATACCAACTGTAGCAGTAGCAAAAGATTTAGCTCTGCAGGTCAGTCTAGACAATATCCACTGTAGGTCTACCATTGGCCTGAACAAATTCAGGTTAGGTCAATCACAGCGCTCCATGTTTTGCAGTGTTGGGAAAGTTCGTTTTAAAAACAAAGTAGTTCAAAGTTCAGTTCATAAATTTTAAAGCGAACTAGTTCATTTTTAGTTCATCATTAAATGTAAGTTCACTGTTCTAAAAATGAACTAGTTCATAGTTCTTTTTTTAATATAATATATATAAAGGTGAATTGTTAATCAACCACAGGGAGGAACTAGGCTGAGATAGGAGACAAGGATGTTCCTCAAATTGCAATATTCAGAGTGCAAAACATTTAATTACCTTTAAATTAAGGAACTTCTCAAATTCAGTGAATTTTCTGACTTGTTTGCCAAAAGAAAAAGAAAAAGTTAAAGAGCTTGGGTCATAAAGAGCAGCAATCCGCCCCAAATGATGTTGTAAAAAGAAGTAAATAAATGAGTAGTTAAATATTAACGGTGCGACTCTGACTAGTGTTTTCAGATAATTTTTTCCCCAGTTCATTCCAGTTCCTTCCATACTGTGTTTGTTTATGTTTATGTATTTAGCAGACGCTTTTGTCCAAAGCTACTTACAAGTGATAATCGGCATGTTGCTCTTGAGGCTAACAACAACAATAACAACAACAACAACCAATTTCCAGTCAGTCGTAGGTGGCAGTGAGGCAGCATGATGAATCATGGAGACGAGGGAACGAGGAGTGGACAGTAGAGAGGGGGGACGGGTGCAGGGTGGTGCTAGTTTAGAAGATGCTTTCTGAAGAGCAGGGTCTTCAGGAGTTTCTTGAAAGTCATAAAGGAAGCCCCTGTTCTTGTAGTGCTTGGTAGGTCATTCCACATTTGTGGAATGATGCATGAGAAGAGTCTGGATTGTCCTGAGCGTGGTGTAGGCACTGCTAGCCGACGATCCTGTGATGACCGGAGCGGCTGGGCCTAGACGCAAGCCTTTGCAAGAGGATTCAGGTAGATGGGAGCCGTACCATCTTGGACTTTGAATGCTAGTGTTAGCAATTTGAATTTGATGCGTGCTGCTAGCGGTAGCCAGTGGAGCTCAATGAACAGAGGGGTGACGTGTGCTCTTTTTGGCTGATTGAAGACGAGACGTGCTGCTGTGTTCTGGACCATTTGAAGAGGTCTCACAGTACAGCTTGGAAGACCTGTTAGATGGGCATTGCAGTAATCGAGGTGGGAGATGACAGTAGATTGCACCAGGAGCTGGGTGGCATGTTGTGTTAGGTATGGTCTGATTTTTCGTATGTTCTACAACGCAAAGCGGCATGAACGAGCAACAGAGGCAACATGATCTTTAAAGGTCAGGTGTTCATCAATCACAACACCCAGATTTCGAACTGCCTTTGAAGGAGCCAGAGATAGGAAGTCATTTTGGATTGAGATATTGTGCTGTGTGGATGGTTTTGCTGGGATGACAAGTAGTTCAGTTTTAGAGAGGTTGACTTGGAGATGGTGGAATTTCATCCATTTTGATTTGTCAGAGAGACAGTTTGATATTCGTGCAGAGACAGTGTGGTCATCCGGTGGAAATGACAGATAGAGCTGGGTGTTGTCTGCATAGCAGTGGTAGGAGAAGCCATGTGATCGAATGATCTCACCCAGTGAGGTGGTGTACATGGCAAAGAGGTCCTAGTACAGAGCCCTGGAGGACTCCTGTGGCAAGATGGTGCACGGTAGAGGATTGTCCAAGCCAAGATACACTGAATGATCGTCCTGTGAGGTACGGTTCAAACCAGGCGTGTGCTTTCTCTGTGATGCCCATGCTAGAGAGTGTGGACAAAAGGAAGCCATGGGTGACAGTCAAATGCAGCCGATAAGTCGAGCCGGATAAGCACTGAGGATTTGCCTGTTGCACTAGCTTCTTTTAAGGATTCCGTCACTGCTAACAGAGCAGTCTCAGTGGAGTGGCCCTTTTTGAACCCAGACTGGTAAGGGTCAAGCAGACAGTTTTGAGAGAGGTATTCTGTGATCTGCTTGAAAGGCACCCTTTCAATGATTTTTGACAGAAAAGGGAGGAGAGAGATAGGTCGGTAGTTCTCCACATGATTTGGAGGAAGAGATGGTTTTTTTTTTAGCAGCAGTACCTGAACATGCTTGAGAGAGGTGGGAAATGTACCGGATGTCAGTGAAGCATTGATCACATGTGTGACTGCTGCAGCTACTGTAGGAGCAATAACTTGGAACAGCTTAGTCAGAATGGGGTCAAGTGGGCATGCAGTAGGGCGGCTGCTCGTGAGAAGCTTGGACACACAGTTCTCAGTGAGAGGGGGAAAAGAGGAAAATGAAGCAGTAGGGCTTGAGAAGGTTGGGCTAGAAGAAGTCTGTGGTAGCGAATGTTCAGGAGTGGCCAGTTGAGTAAACTTTGCTTATAGCTGCCACTTTGTCAGTGAAGAATGAGGCAAAGGTGTCAGCTGATAGATTGTTGGTAGGAGGTGGAGACGGAGGGTTGAGCAATTTCATCTTCCGAGTAGAAATAACGAACTGGAACAACCCCCAAAGTCAGAATGTTTTTTAAGTTCAGCTTTGAGGTTTAATTTGGCAGCTCCTTATAATAACAACAGTAGCTTTGGCGGAAACATGTTTATTTTACAAGATAAACTTTTAAGGCTGCATCTAAAATCGATGTTAAGTACAGTTGTATTATTTCCGAGGTTAACACACCGCAACGTCCGTCCTCCACACAGCAAAGGCATAGAAGAGTAGACGCCGCGCTGACTGCTACTGCCTATGGTGGCCGTATTTACGGATTCTACTTTTTATAAACTCTATGGCATACAGGATGTTTCAGCTAGGCATTAGCCGCATGGAGATCTGGAGCTGGAACGGTGAAAGAACGCGTTCATAAACCCGTTCACACAAGCCAAAACGAACGCACTCACTTTAACGTTCGTCAGACAAAATACGAACAAGTTCACGAATGATCGTTCAATGAACGCATTCGGGCACAACACTGATGGTTTGTATAGATGGAGGGTTTAGTGCCAGAGCTGCAACGGGGTAAAAACTACATAAATGGTGTCGGCTCAGGAACAGTGCTCGAAACGGCTTTGGCTTCAACTTTGGGCGGTTTATACTTTGACTTTTCTTTGAGACATGAGCAGATAGGAGGAACTTCAGTTCTCTTTTGAAAAGGGTGTGTGTACTTCTTAAACGGTGTAATGCGGACTGCCCAACTGACTGCTTTCTGTAGCGATTATTATGTTTGTTCCTCTAATTGCTCCCACTGCTGTGTGAAGACGGTTTGAAAGGGTGAAAACTCCAGATTGCTGCTTTAATTCTAAACTTCACCATTTTAAAGTATTTCTTACCAGGTGAGTCAGCTGAAGCTTGATACATCTGGTTCCAGGGCACCTTTGGTGTTAGAGGAGCTACAAGATGAAGCACGTTTCAACTTGTTATATACTGTATCTGTACTGTTGCAGCCAGAGAGGAAACATTCTTGTAGACCGTTAAAAATTATCATATAGTATATTGCATTTAATTTGCTGACCATATTTCTATCTTCTTATTTTAACAAATGAGACTAACTAACGACTGACATGCAAGCCTGTAAAAGTTTCTGCAACGAGTGCGCCTGCAGTGAGTAAAGTCCCTCAACAATCTGCCCACACTTCCTCGAACAGAACACATCCAGTTCCCACTCCTTCGCACTCCCAGGCTACAAATTATTCACAGCTTTTTCTCTTTTTACCCTGATATAAAAGCAATGACTGGAGAATCGTGTAATGCTAACAGCTACAGTACCTCTTTGGCTGGCTGGCTGAGGTTTCAAAGACACAGGCTGCAGAGGAGGATAGCCTGGAAGAGAAGGATTGCAAACACATTATGTTTTATTGTCATCTTATGAAAAAGGTTAGAACGGTTTGGCTGTCCATCAGAATATCACAGCAGAAGTAAAACAAAACTCATTTCAGCCTCGACTCAAAAACCATTTCAAACTTGTTTCTTTTCAAATCCAGCTGTTTCCTTTGAGACTTGAAATGGTTTTATCATATAAACTGCAGGGGGTGAGTTTAAATAAATGCATGTGATTTTCTAATCCGCTATTTCTGCAGACCTTGTTTAAAAAAAACACGTTTCATGATTGGCTCTTTTCATTGCTAATAATTAACTGGGATTCAGAATGTTAAAAGAAATCCTGGCAAAACAAGCCAATGGCTCGACTTTAAGCCTAACTTTTACTCTCTGTTTTAACTTTTTAAGCTAACTGGCATTAACACTACTTAATCCCCTTCACTGTCAGGGAACAAAATAACAAACGTAGGCTGCTCTCTGCTCTTTTACTGCCAAACAAGATGAAGGCTAGAACAAAGCCCTTGTTTTGTTGTTTGATATTTTATTTAAGCGTCCTGCACAGTCCAGCTAATTCAATCCAGAGCTGTCTAAATCTGTGTTTAGTTGCTCTCTCCCATCTCTTTGAATGTGGCATCCATTATAAAAAGGCCTGAGGTAGAAACAATTAATGTGGATCAAACAAAACATCTAATGCACATGTACAAATAAAGCCTTATTATGAGTTTCATGTGTCGGATAGGATAAAAAGAGAGGAACAGATTTGTGTTTGGTTGTGAATCTAAGTGGTGTCAGGATGTGTTCGTGGTTGTAAACTCATGAGGAGGTGGGTAGCAGTTGTTTTTTCACATCCAGCTGACAATTTTAATCAAATATCAGTAACTTGCTCTCTTCTTTTTACACAACTTAGGCAGTGATTTACCACATGCACAATTATTTGGTTTTTCTACACATTTTCCAAATCCAATGAACTTGTGCCAGAAAAGTCTACATTACTGTACATTTGTCTACACAGCCTTGAAATAGCACTCAAAAGCCAACAGTTGTAAATTTCATTATTCAAACATCTTTTTATTTCACATTCTTTGCTTCCAAAATGCCAGACGTACATGTAATCCTTTAAAAATGGGTTGCTTTGTAACCAAAATGACTCTTTAATGTGAGATATTTGGAAACAATAAACTTTTCTGAACAGCATTCAGTTTTGATTTCAGCCCCACCAAATGTGGACCAAGTTTTAAATAAATCCCTGATGAAGAGTCACAGATGTGTAGTTTTACTCATGTTGTAGAGTACCTGCAGGACTCACCTGGCGCCCTGGCAAACCCATTGACAGGTTTGCTCGACGAGTCCTCAGATCCTCTACGCACGGTGACCCTGCGCATGTATCCTGGAGGCCCCGCCTCTCCCGTCTCCAACACAGGTCTAACGGGCATCAGAGTGGAGAGGCGTGGCTGCTGGGGCACCGAGGGCTGGTTTGGTGGAGTGATTCTGATCGTGTGGATGTTGGGCTGTGCAGGTGTGTTGGGGCTGGACGGCAGAGGTGGGAGGATTACAGGGATGTGAATTTCTTTGATTCTGGTTCTGCTCCCAGATGAATCAGGCACAGAGGAAGGACTTTCTGCTCTTAAGGTAATTCCTTGGAGATGAAAAGAAAAAAAAAGGAAGATTTGAATTTATTTAAGTAGTACGGAAGAGGATTAGGGCCACTGGGAAAAACCCCCAAAGAATCCTGACTTTTTTTTCTCAGAAGTCTGACTTTCATAATCCTGAGAATAAAAGTCAGGACTATGGCAAAAAAGCCAGAATTCTGAGAATAAAGTCAGAATTCTGAGAATAAAGTCAGAATTCTGAGAATAAAGTCAGAATTCTGAGATTAAAGTCAGAATTCTGAGAATAAAGTCATAATTCTGAGATTAAAGTCAGAATTCTGAGATTAACTGAATTCTGAGAATAAAGTCAGAATTCTGAGATTAACTGAATTCTGAGATTAAAGTCAGAATTCTGAGAATAAAGTCAGAATTCTGAGATTAAAAGAATTCCTAGATAAAAGTCAGAATTCTGAGAATAAAGTTAGCATTCTAAGATTAAAGTCAGAATTCTAAGATTAACAGAATTCTGAGAATATGTTTATGTTTAGTAAGAATTCTGAGAATAAAGTCAGAATTCTGAGAATAAAGTCAGAATTCTGAGATTAAAGTTAGAATTCTGAGAATAAAGTTAGCATTCTAAGATTAAAGTCAGAATTCTAAGATTAACAGAATTCTGAGAATATGTTTATGTTTAGTCAGAATTCTGAGAATAAAGTCAGAATTCTGAGAATAAAGTCGGAATTCTGAGATTAAAGTTAGAATTCTGAGATTAAAGTCAGAATTCCGAGAACACAGTCAGAATTCTGAGATTAAAAGAATTCTGAGAATAACCTCAGAATTTGCTTTCTTTTTTTTTCTTTTTTCTTTTTTATCAGGGGCCCTAATCCTTTTCCATAAATTAGAATACAAATTTGTGGAAAATCAGATCAAAATACAAATAACGTTTGAACTTCTTCTGCATGCAGACAGCTCATGGTTTCTTCAGAAACCTTGATTTGAAACCTTGCTTTCAGTTGAAGAGCCCAATCAAAACAAAGGAGAGAGTAGTCGGTGAAATGAGTTTCAGGCAAGATGGAATGCACATTACTGCTCTCCAGGATCCCAGAGGGAACAGACATCAGCTGGACCTCTGGACAGTCACATAGTTGATTATCTGGTGCTAAATGAATGTATTTTAATCAGCACACAGTTAAAAATAAACAAAAATACGTCTTACACAGAAGTTTAGGGAGAATCCGAGTTTATGTTGTGCTTCATTATTGTCCTTCATTGGGACATATTACGGCTACCAGCCTGGCCATTGGGATGCAGGAGCCAGGATCACCCAGCCCCAGTGATAAGCCTGACACCACCCCTCCTCCTCCTCTCTTCCAGGCTGCTGAGGAGCACAGCTGATCTGAATCCTGCTGATGATCAACACCTGGAATAAAAAGGCTGTGCCTTCAGCAGTCTGGGAGGCAGCAGTGCAGGGGCTCTGCTGTCCTCCAGGCCTCATTTTGTTCTCAACCCCTTTGAGAAGAAGAGTTTTAATTTTTATAGTTTTAACTCTGAGTGATCCAGAAGGATCGTTTTAAAGGTTAACTTGGTGATAGTTTTATTTACTTTGGTTTTAAAACACCTTCTGTTCCAATAAAACTCTTAACATAAGTTTGAACCAGGTGCTTTATGTCAATAGATTGTTCTAGAACTTTTATCAACTTTGTGGATTTTGAAACACCTTCTGTTTTGGTGAAACTTTTAATTAACCAGGTGTTTTTAATTTTGGTAACTGCTTTTTTAATGTTAACCTTTTTGAGAGTTTTTTTTTTGTTTTGCATTATCTTAATAATGCTCACCATCTGTTTGCATTTGTTTTTAGAACCTTTTATATTAATTAAACCCATTTTAACTCCACTGTCGCATTTCTTATGTTACCCTCTCCTTCACATTTTAACATCTCCTGTCGGGGACATAACAGGACAACATAAGTAAAACCACTTTAAGAGGTGGAATGCCACGACATTTATAATCCAAATGCAGTCTGAATTTCCCAGTGCATATTTATGTTTTCAGTCCCGTCTTTGCTGACGTCTTTTGTCTCTGTCACTCCTGAGATGGGTTCGAAACTGGCTTAGTGCAGATTTTCAATGGCTTCACCCCATCTCTAACCTGTGACCACAACAGAAACTAAAATACCATCATGTCCTGCTCCCTCACCGCTTCAAAATCATGGATATGATGGTTGCTTCTAGTTGCAGGTTCAGAACTTTGAGTAAAAGATCTATTTAAGAAGCTTCGGTTTCAAAAACAAATTTCCTTCTCACATGAGTTGCTGCACTTTCCTCCTCGCATCCAGTATGGAAAATGAGTTCAAACTCCTGCAGTACCCAATAAAGGAAAGTAAAGGTTTGTTTAATTGCATTTATGTGAAAAGATTACAACCTGTTAGCTCATTGAACAACCTCATTTCGGAGAACTAGAGATTATCTGAACTAACAAGTAATAATGGGGATGCTTACAAAGTGTCTTAAAGTGACAATGTGTAGTTTTTACCATTAATCTCTGGAAATATCCATCAAATTGTTGTTGTAAATGAATTAAAAGATGCCCAGTTGTTGAAAAATATTGACTGTTTCCTAACATATAACCATAAAAATCAGTTCTAAATACATGGGAGCGGGTCTAAGTAGCTCGGCGACGCCATATTGGATGCCATGTTTCCTTCTACGGAAACCCATGAGGACAAAACACATTTGATGATTAGTAATAAATGGTTACAAAACTTCCACCAATAATAAACATTTTGTTTTACACATTTACCTCTTCCCTCATTGCCAGTGAGTTTGATATACTTGTTATTGTCAAGGATTTTTGACCCTAATGGCCAACTGTTGGTAAGATCTTATTCGAACACAAAAATAATGCTTGCTTGCAATGATTTAGGTATCTACTGCCCCCTATTGCCAGAGAAAATACAAGCTGTCACTTTAAAACAATTCCAGTCTCTAAAATATCCTAGCAGTTTATACTAATGTCATTTTAGAACCCCTACTTATATACATTTCATGTTTCATGGTTGTTCTAGCAGAATTCTTAGAAATTACAGCTAAAAGTGCGGCAGAGGCTAGCTCTGCAGCTATAGTGTCTGCAGCAAATAACCCCAAAATTTAGTTAGGCTATATATTTACTTGTATATGATAGCTTGCCAGCCTTGAAAAATACCTTAAAGTTCTCGAAAAATCCATCAAGAAGTAATTAAATTACAAATCCAGCCAGCGATCCATTCTCAAATACCTGAAAGCAACTGTAAGATATTACAGTCTACCAGTCTCAGATTTGTGATCAAATAAACATCATTAGCCATCACATAATTCTTCTTTCCTACCACAAGATATACCACAAACTACTCAGAAGCCGCATGTATAATCAAAAACAAATTAAGCTCAGCAATCATGTTGCACTGAGATAATCAGGAATCTCTTCTTCATTTCCTTCCTATGCCTCTTTCAGAATGTCGGTTGCCAGAGTGCATATTTCCCATGAGCTCTCTGCCTGTGTCTCGCTGAGGGGGCAACCATAGACTTGAAAAACATCAACACATTCAAGTGCATGCAAAAAATAAATAAAAACATCACCAAAACCAGCTGTTACAGCCACCAAGCAGGGAGAGATGCTGCAGAGGGAGACGGTTTCATCACTAACGCCTCCCCAGAATTAGGTGACAGCTTGTGAGTGTGCAGAAGTGTGTGAAAGCATTATGGAGTACTGCAGTAGACAGGAACGTCACGCAATGGAAAGCAGCGTCAGGGGGCACAGAGTAGGGCGTGCTGGTTACAGATGTACAGAAATGCATCACCCGCTGTCGGGAATACATTTTTCTGGTCTTGCTAGGCACATGGCATCATTTTATCCTCCACCCCCGTTTTCTTCCAATATTATTGATGATGGTAGGCTTTGATTGTACAGTGTATGGCAGCCATTGAGGTTTATCACTTCTGAATATTTCCAGATGGACTCCTGGGTCGGACATAGAAACACATCCACTCCCAGCCTTTAGCTATCTCACTGGGGAATCGCTCTCTGCCTGAGCACTCCTCAAATCTCACAGTGCTTAGATATATACAGTGTGCGAGTTAGCCTGCATGTGTCAAATACAATTTTCCCTTCTTTCCCAGCAGACACCCTTTGACTTCAAAAAGCCTTTCATGTCTTGTTTGTGTTGTACTTCCTCATCACAGCAGACGTGTAATCTTCTCAGCCGTCTCTTTAATACAAACGCCAGAGTGATCAATTGCAAACCATTGATCCATGAAATCAAAGCCTTTACTTTACCCCTGCTTTAAAACAGCTGTTTTTTTCTTCTTATGGCGCTTTCTATCAATATACACTTAAAGCACGGGACATATGGAGGAAGAAGGGAAGGCCTCTAGCACTATTTGAAGGACAATTGAATGAGATGACAAGGTTGCCAGCTTTTGGAAGTTGAAAGAAGGAATGATGTCTGGGAAGAGCAAAGGTGGGATGGTTACTTTTTTATCTAGATAACATGTCAAGAGAATATTTTACACTTAAAATTTAAAATGACAGCACAGACAAAAAGGCATTCCTTATAAATTTGGCTTCCCTTAATGATGAGTTCAAATGTAAACAAAGAGCTAACAGATGTGAGTTGAGATACAGCCATGGTGAAAGTTTTGAAAATGGTACAAATAGGAACTGTCAAAGTTTTTCTACCTCAGTAGATTATATCTTTCTAACAGAAGTTACCAAATCATGTCAGTTTTAAATGATCTGTTCTGTGGGATACCGCAAGGCAGTTTTGGAAACACTCTTTTTTTCTACTCTATATACACCCTCTTGGCCAGATAATCAATTCTTTCCATAATGTCTCCTATCATCTATATGCAGATAAATGAATGAATGAATGAATGAATGAATCAATCAATCAATCAATCAAACTTTATTTGTATAGCACTTTTCATTAAAAAATGCAGCTCAAAGTGCTTAACAGATTAAAAAGACCCAATATAAACCACATTCCCATCCCTTCCCCACAAATATAAAATCA